GAAACCTCCAGGAAACTTAGGGTTAAATAGTCAAGTATAATAAAAAGATAGTTAGGATTTTCATGTTGTAAAAAACTGGCCAAAATGTGATGGCATTAAAGAATTCTTCGAAAATCAGCTTTACTCTCTATGCAAGAAACAGAAAAAAAAGGATGAATAAATGAATAGAGTGCAATGGATTGAGCAAAATCTCTTATGGCTTTATATCGGATTATGAAGAGGGACACTTATTACGAACCGAGGCTCTATGCAGTCATCGCTCTAACAGACAACCCTAGTGCCCGCAATCGCGTACAGCTCACCACAACGGGCTTTACTCACTGAATAATGGTTAGGACATCCCAATGGTAGTACGGCTACGACTATCAGTGATTTCCGGGATATGTGTGATGTTTATTGCACATTAGACCTCGCCAAATTAACAGTAGATAGTGAGAGTGGTGTGGATTTTGCAAAATTGTACCTTTAATTATAACTCCTGTCTTGTATATACTTAGAGAGTATATTTCTAAACTATCAGCAAATATTTGCTTGCTTTACGCCATTACATATTGTAAATCAGATGGTTAGATAATATGAATGCTGGTTGATCAACTTACCGACACATCATGTACCGACAAAGCATTAATCGGGTCTAAAACCAAATGGTCGACAGATGGAGTAGGAGTGAGCATTGACTGAGGTTTAGGGCAGCGATTTCCGGCTACTTGTTCACTTAGCCGGAGGTAGTCAGCCTCAGGATCCAAATCCTCCAGATCGGCCATAAACTGCAGAGGTACACATTCCTCAGCCTTCGGCCTCAATGAGTCCTTGATGGTGTCCGGGCCAAAATAAAAACCATTGGTACCGGAAAAAGGGTCAGAAATGGTCGGAAGTGAGTTGGCCGCCTGACGGCCCACGGAGACGATGCATCTGCGGACGAGGACTGCCGCTAGGGCGGAAGCAAGTTCGCTAGCATCGTGAAGAAGAGGGTCGCCAAGGCGGGCAAGCATGATAGCCGGCGGCTCAGATTCAGTCTTTGAGGCGTTGAATTCGCCTCGTCTCACTCGGGGACACACGCCAATATGACTTGCAACCTTCTTGCCACCGGTGTTATGGTCGAACGCATCTTTACGGTGGTCATGAGTAGCAGAAGAGCTCTTGAACCCCAGTTCCGGCAAAAGGCATCCTTCATAAAAATAGCTGGCAAGCCGAAAATCAGAGTCGCCAAACCGAGGGCCAAGAAGTGCCACCAAGCCCAGGAAAGTGGGTCGGAGGCGTGGTAAGTAGGACCAACAATGCAGCATCAGAGCCAGCCTAATATGAGTTAAGAGAAGAAAGAGGAAATAAAGATGAACAGAGAAAAATAGGAAAGCAGCCAAACCAAGAACGTTGCTCATTCCCGATTTGCAAAAAATTGGATACATATGAGCAATCTCCACATAATAACCATAACCGTAATCCGTTCAGCGGCCTAGAGCAAGCTGATGCGGGCATACTGCAAAGTGGATCGCATATGCAATGCGTATTACTTCTTCTATGAACTGGTCCTTGAGGTAAAAAGAGAGATAACCTGTAGGAGAAACTAAATCAAGCCTAAACTTCGTTTTGGATCCCAAACCAGCTTATTTCACTGATAAAGTCTATTGTTGTAGGCTAAAGCCAATGCAAGTTGCAAAAACGTATAGACACTAGATGATTACAGCAACAGCATTTAAATGAAGTGCCCGATTTTTTTAAAAGAAATGAGAAAGAAATTATTTTAACTCATTAACCGTATGGCATCTCGATATAATAATTTGGACTTAAGCTAGAAGCGTAGGCTAAGGTGATAATCGTAAGATAATTAACATTTTAAGTTGTAAAAAGTAGATATCCGCTAGGTGGATAGATCTGAGAAATAAAAAATAAAAGGGAATAAAATAGCTTCCAAAACACACAGCATTTCTACATCAACAAGAATTAGTTTATAAAAATAGAATAAAGTGCAAGAACGAATGTTAATAAATAATAATGAAATATAACCTAAAACATAGATATCGCAATTGTTTAAATGTGATTCTGGTGAGATAACTAGTTGTTATTTGAGTCTTCCTCGTACGGGATAGTCTAATTGGATTATTGTCTCAAAAACCTCAACACATAATGAATTTTGCTGAAACTTACTCGTTTGACATTGATTTTTCGGATATTACTATTTTATAAATGGGCCGAAAATAAACAACTATAAAATAACCTAAGCACTGAGCCTTTTGGAACTAAACTTATGTCAGAACCTTCTACATGTGAATATTTAAAAGTTTAGTCATTCTAATTAGCATTTGACGAAAATGAAGATATTCGATCATATACACATTGTTGTATAAGACGCTTATCGTTCTGGTAACCAAGATGAAATTCTTAAAAAATCGGAGGATGCGAGGGTCTAAAAAGCCAACTTGAATCACGAAAATATTGATAAAGTGACAAGAAAATGCGCAGACGACTATGCTTCATTTGGAAAAATTTTATCAGAATCGTTAAGTCATCTTTATAAAAAGGAAAATTAAGATAATGTAGTAAACCTAGTTTTCTAAGAGCTAGCTTCTTTATAGTACCTAGTTTAAGGTGGTATAAATGGCTAGAGTGGCTTCAAACTGTGCATAATGTACGATGTTCTGGCGTTATCTTCAATAGAAGTAGGTGGATCGATGGCGAGTCAAGAGCACTAAAGAGGCGGAATATGAAAAATTCAAGTAATCTATAGAAAAATTGAATACCCACAGTAGGCGGGGGCAATTAATAGGTGGTCCATTTGTAACTAGTGTATTGCCATTGACGACATAGTGAATGACCTCTTCATGTGACATTCCACCATAGGGTAGACATGCCATCGTAGTTATTTCCCAGAGTACCACTCCATAAGACCTGAAATAAAAAGATGAGCATATTAATAAAAGTAATACAAAAGTTTAGTATTAAAAGTAGCAAAGAAATTAAAAACCGTGTCGTGAAAAAAAACACTTGCTAAATGAAATCTAAGCTAATAAAGCTTTCGT